CTGTGCTGGGTATAGCGCACTTGGATGCTAGACAGTATTTATAAATAATGAGATGAAAAAAGTTTGTATATCTCTGGATTGCATTACTTTGAATATTTCTGTAAATTAGATATCTGGTGGCTGACTACTGGTCTTCATCACAATTTTCCTTAATGCTGATAATAATGTATGTTTCTCCATGAAGAATGGACAAACAGTATAAAAGTTTTTACTAACTGTGTTTATGTAATGCCACTTTCTGGGTTTTTTTTTTTTCACACAGTTTCTGTCACCCAGGCTGGAGTACAGTGGCATGATCACAGCTCACTGCAGCCTCAACTTCCCGGGCTCAGGTGATTCTGCATCAGCCTCCAGATTAGCTGGGACTGCAGGTGTGCACGACCATGCCTGGCTAATTGTTTATATTTTTTAGTACAGCTGGGGTTTCACCACGTTGGCCAGGCTGCTCTCTAACTCCTGGGCTCAAGTGTTCACCCATCTCAGCCTCCCAAAGTGTTGGGAATACAGACAGAAGTAACTGCACCTGTCCTGTAATGCCACTTTCTTTCATGAAAACAAATGTGGCAGATAGAAGATGTCTGGAAATTCTTTGCTGTTTCTCCCACTGAGAGGTGGAATATACCACCCCTATGTTTGAATCTGGGCTTGTTGTGGAAGTTACGTTCTGGGTGTTTAGAGACTAAGTCATAAGACTTGGAGCTTCTGCCTTGTTTCTTTTTCTTGAACACTTGCTTTTGGAGCCCTGAGCCTCCATTATAAGAAGTCTGACTCCCCAAAAACCACCATGATGAAGAGGCCACATGTAGGGCTCTGGCTGATAACCTTCAAGTTCAGCCCCACCCTCAAGGCATCCCTGCCAATGCACCAGACGTGGGATGCTATGGTCTGAATGTTTGTGTTCCCTTAAAGCTGTATGTTGAAATTTAATCACCCGTGTGATAGTATCAGGAGTTGGGGCCTTTGGGATGTGATTAGGTCAAGAGGTAGAGCCCTCATCAAGGGGATTAGTGCCCTTATAAGAGACCTAGGGAGCTTGTTTTGTTTGTTCTTTCCTTCCACCAGGTGAGGACACATTGAGAAGTCATAGTATCTATGAACTAGGAAGCAGGCTCTCACCAGATATGGAATCTGCTGATGCCTTCATCTTGGACTTCTCAGCCTCCAGACCTGTGAGAAATAAAGGTCTGTTGTTTAAAAGCCACCCAGTCTATGGTATTTTATTACAGCATCCCAAATGGACAAAGACATGGGTGAAGTTATCCAAGTCCCTCCAAACCAGGCCATTTACCTTCACCAGCTAAATTTCACTGAGGGACCCCAGTCAGTGTCACATGGAACAGAAGAGTCACTCAGCTGAGCCCTGCTCAAAGCCCTAACCTACAGAATTGTGAGATACAATAAAGTGGTTGTTGTTTCAAGCCCATAATTTTTGGGGTAGTTTGTTATATAGCAGTTGATAGTTGGGACAGCAAATTATTTCACATTTCCTTGTTTGTCCAATATTTGCATTAAGACTTTCGATTTTGACAATATTGGTTGATCATTTGCTAGCTGCCAAGTAATTTCAGTTCTTTTTCCATCCGTACGTGTGCTCTGCAATTGAATAAGAGAGGGTTGGGACACCAAGAGAAATATTTAATTCTGGACCATATTTCACCTTCTATAAAGCTTTTATTTTAAAGCAGTAATTGGTAATATGCATTGGTAATACAATCTCCAGTTTAAAAAGCACTTTTGGGATTTAGGGAGGTAAATGAAATCAGTTTTAAGATATATATATCAATGTATGCCAAATTTTATTTTAATTTATGTTAGTAGCTATATTCCTCTGGGAAGCAATCAATATGGTAAAAGGCAAAATTATACATATGTGAAAAATGTGGGCTTAATTTAAAGGCAACTTTAGCTGAAAATTAATTAATAAAGGAAAGGAAACTAATTTTATTGAGTGCTACTATGGGCTGAGTACTTTATATAATCTCATGACAATGCTATAAGTAATTTTTAAATGGGAAGTGTACAATTTGCCTAAGGTCACTTAGCTGGTAAGTGGTAGGCTGGATTCTACCCAAATCTGATGGATCCGAAGCCTGTGTTTTTCTCCTTTGCAGAGGTTATTCATCTGAAAGAGACCAGGTCTCGAAACATGGTTCTCAAAGAACTAGGGAGCAATTATGGCAGCCATGCACAGCTGGTTTATTAGTGTGTTCATTTACGAAATAAATCCTGGTAGTGAGTTTTATTGACTTTTGCTGCCCTTTGCATATTGTCTCCTCAGGAAGAATCTAGGGACAGGGTAGGAAATACACAACACCCGACAGATGTGTTTCAGAAGTTCCGTAAGGTGAAACATAGTTTATATAGTGAATCTTTTTGAAAGCAGATGCTTACTATCATCACTATGACCGCTCCAATTTATCATCATTATGACCACTCCAAAGATTTTCTTTCCACATTGCTCCATTTTTTCAAAGGGAATATATCTATATGGAGTAAGAAGATTGGAGTTCCATGTTTTCTTTTTATTTACCTTCTTCTAGTTGGGTTAAAAGTTTTCATCTTGTATATGTTCATCTGAAATCTTCAAATACTCCATTTACCAACAATAAAAAGCATAACTATTTAAAAAAAGTTATGGCTGTGCCAGAGTCCTTTTCATCCCCCTACCATTGGACAGGGAGAGTAGCAGGCTGAGGTCAGGTGAGATCTTGAACACAAGTCATCCCTCTCTCCCAACACAGACCATGCTTCTACACTGCGTGGGTGGGGGGACCCCTACCGCTTTTCCTATTTTCTGTTCTGGAGAGTCTGTGCCCTATGGTGGTTAAACTCAGATGGTGCTGAACAATCTGGGTTAAAATCATGGCTCTGTCTCTTCCCAGCTCTGTGAGCATTCCAGTTTGTGTCTCAATTCCCTCATTTGTAATTTGAACCCCCAAATAGTTGTAAGGATTTAATGAGCCAGTCATTGCATGTAATGTACTCAGAAGCATGCTTGGTGACAGTAGAAAGTGCTACATAAATGATAGCAGCTGATATTATTACTGTCTTCCTTGGGCATTTAATTAAACAACACTGGGCAGGACAAAAAAAGAGTGAAAGAATTTGAAGCCACTTAGTAACTGTTGCATCAAAAAGCTGACCCACTCTGAATTACAAGCAGTAACCTATCTAGCTAGCTAGAGGACTGGGGCTTTTTGGGTGGGAACCTGATGAGCATGCTGCTTATGAGGATGTTCTTAAGGTCAGTGCCCTAGGTGGGGAAGCAATAATCTCTGATAACAAGCCAGAGTCATCACTATATAATTTTATGACGATAGAGAACCAATAGCATAGATGAAGTCTCTCTCTCTCTCTTTTTTTTTTTTTAAATATGGAATGCTTCACGAATTTGCTTGTCATCCTTGCACAGGGGCCATGCTAATCATCTCTGTATCGTTCCAATTTTAGTATATGTGCTGCCTAAGCGAGCACTAGATGAAGGCTCTTGACAGGGCTTGGATTCTTTCTTTCTTCCAACATTTCATCACATTAGCAAATAGGGGCCCATCACCATGGACCATTTCTAACCACTCCTTCATCCAGCAACCATTCATTGTGCACCTGTCTTGTCTGGGTCCCGCAAGGATGTGTGTATAGCCCCACAATCTAGGTGGAGAAAAAAACAAAGGGATTCATTCCTTAAATCAACAATTATTTACTGGATAGCTACCATGTGTCAAACCCTAAGCTAGGTGCTGGGCATAGGGAACAGAACAGACCAGCTGCCCTTATGCTGCTGACATTTTACAGGACAGAAGGATAATACATGAAATAAGTAGGATGCATTCAGGCTTTTCAAAAGGGTGGTGAATGCAAAGGAGAAAAATAAAGCAGGGGAGGAACTAGGTGTTACTGTGGGTGGGTGGGTGAGCGGGAGGCACTTTTAATTAGGATAGTCAGGAAAGGCTTTATGGTGAGGTGAGTAACTGCAATCTAGAGATATGTTTAAAGTGTAGGGGGGCCCAAGGGAAAGCGCTGCCTGGCCTCTCTACCCGCCTTCCCTGACCAGTGCTGAAGACAGCCACACAACTCCATACTCTGTGTGAGCTCTCACAGGGCAGAAATTTCATTTTTCTCTTACTCATTGCTTTCAGCCTAGTAGAGAGCATGGCACAGTGAAGATGATCTACTGACTCAAAGTGTTGCTGAGCAATGGACTCGTTACCTGCGGCACACAGAAAGCAATACTGTGGAACAGGCTTTTGAAAAAAGAAAAAGCTCTTTATCAGTCAGCTGGCAAGGAGACGGGAGGCAAAGCTGAAATCTGTCTTCTGGACCTGGGGGCGGGTCAGGCGTCTTTGGGATCGCTAACCAGTCCCAGGTGATGCCAATGCAGCCTTCCGCGGGGCGCGTGGGTTCACAGTTAGAAAGCTTTCCCTCTTGCACGTGCCTGGGAGATTTTGGCTCTGTCTCACCCTAACAACTTAAACAATGGCTAATCGGTTTGAGCTGGTCCTATTGTTACAAAAAGATCTAATTAAGTCATTCCATCAGAAAGCGATGCTTGAGCACAAGCTTTGCTCAGATTCCCTCGTTCAGCATTCCTTGAGCACCCACTGTGTGAGAGCGCCTGGTTTTGCCCTCAAGGAGCTTAGAGTGGAGTTTACATGAATGAACCACTGATTAGCGTCGGGCCTAAGTGTGGGCACAGTCACACCACACATCCAGATACTACTCCAGGCACGGGCATTAGGGGCGCCCACAGGCTGGACAGGCCTGGGACTTCCCTGGTTGAACCGTGAAGCCGCGGTGCCAGTCCACACCCCACTGTTGGTGGCGGGTCCGGCCCCGTAAGGAGGTGCCGCTGTCAAACCCCACGGTTCCGCGCAGCCAAAAGGCGAGACGACCGCGGAAGGCAGGCGTAGCCCACTCTTCCCTAGAGGCCCGACATCTCCCGGTGAGTCCCGAAAAGTGCGCGGAGACCGTAGCCGAGCCCTGGGCCGTCAGCAATCCGGTTCTCAGGGAGTCGCGCCAAGGAGGGGAAGCGGCTTTCTCCCGGCCTTCTGGGCGGTCTGGCTCGGCCCGGCAGTTAACTGCAGCTGCAGCCCCCGCCCAGCGCCCCTCTCCCCTCTCCTCCCGCCTCCCGCCTCTGGCGGCCAGTCCCGCAGCTCTGGGGCACTGGGACTGAGCAAAGGTCCCGGCGGGCTGGCCCTCCCTCCGCCCTCCCCGAGCGTCCGCCCCCGGCCGGCCCAGCGCAGGATCCTCCGACTCGGCGGGCGCGTGGCGCGCGGCTGCCTGGGACCCAGCGGCTGGCGCGCGGGTAAGTGCGCGGCAGGCGCGGGCTGCGGGCTCCGCCCCGGCCCCTTTTTGGGTGTCCGGGGCCTGGGGCAGCTGAGGCCGCGCGGCGCTTTCTCTCTGGGACCCCCCTCCCCTCGCTCCTTCCTAGGGGAGACGAATCCTTTGGCTGCCCGGCCGCTGGAATGGCGGGTCCCGTCGCGCCCCTCGCCTCCTGCATTCCCGGCCGGGTCCCCCTCCCATCACCGCGTCCCGCCCCCCTCGCACTAGCATCCCCTCCCCGCCGCCACTTCCTTCCTTGGATGTTGCAAGCGCAGCTGGTACTTTGGTTCCCTCCCCCGCCCCCCCCCGCCCCACTCGTCCATCCTTTGTCTTGCGGTCGGTCTCTTCTCTGGGTGCTGCGAAGGCTCTCCCGGCTCAGGGGCGCGTGTGCAGGGAAGCGGGCCTTGGAGCAGATACGGAGTTCGGTTTCTCTGGAGGAAAAGAGTCCCTAATCGCCTTGCTTCGGTATCTAGAGGGCCCCGAGCTTGGGGAGGAGGCCAAGCCCGCCTTGGTGTGCCCGGCTAGCGCTGGGATGGCTCTCGACGCTGCCCGCGAGGCTTCCTTGGCCTACTCTTCCTTTGGACCCTTGACCCTTTCCAGAGCCGCTTGCCATCTGCACCCCAGAGAGGAAAGACGAGAGGGCACCTCTTAGAAAAGCGTCGGTTGTTGACTGAACACACCACCCATTCCTCCAGACTCTGTCCACTATAGTGAATGGGGTAGTTAAAGGGATGGATGCCTTGGGGTCACTGTCATCCAGAGGCAGGCAGGCGGCGGGACAGACAGATGGCCAAGTCCAAGTGGAATGAAAGGGATTGGAGAAGAAGCAGAAGAGTGAAATTGTCTTCACAATCCACCACCACCAGCACCAAGCTTTTTTCCTAAAGGAAAGGGGCTGGGAGAAGTTGAGCCCAGACCATCAGGTAGATCTGAGAGAGAGCACCCAGCCCCTCAGCCACTGTCCCTTAGCTAGGCTCTTGTTGTTGTTGTTGTTGTTGAGAGAAGGTTGGCTCTGTCATGGAGGCTGAAGTGCAATGGCGCTGTCCTCACTCACTGAGGCCTTGAATTCCTGGGCTCAAAAGATCCTCCCGGCCACACGTAGCTAAGGCCACAGGTTCCTGCCACCACACCCTATCTTTATTCTTACCCAGGCTGTTTTCTGTTACCCACTCCACTTCCCCAAAGCCTTTGCTGCCTCACTCTCCTCTCTTTTCAAGATGATGCCTGTATTCTGACCATCATTAAGTTCACATACTGATTTTATTTAGAAAGAAATTATGAAATATTAATTGTCTTTTATTAAAAATGAGCTCAGGTAGTGGGCTGTAGGCATCAGAAGATATGAAGATACCTGTTTTAGTTTAATAGACCTAATTGCACTTTGCTGCCTAGAAAACTAAAACTAATTCAAAGTGTGCTGAAATTGTTAACAGTGAGACAAGTAGACAAGTACAGCCATGTTTCATCTCCGCAAATAGGAGATGACACATGTTCCATAGCAAAGACTTTTGTTTCCACCATAACTGAGGTTCACCCTTTCAAGGACACTTTCTTCTGCTACAGAATGAATCATGTGAGACCACATTAGAACAGAGAAAAGCTGAACAGGGAGCCAGCAGAGCGGAGTGGCCAGGAGCACAGGCTTTGGAGTCAGGCAGAGCTGGGATGGAATCTTGGCTGACCACTAATTCTCTGTGGTATTCAATGCCCTCCAGACAAAGACTACCAGGAACACACCGACAGGTCAATGGGTTGGTTTATTTCTCCTTGCAGTGAGCTCCCTCACGGGGAACTCTGAGATGTCTCAGTAAGAGGTGTTAGAATGGACGAGGGTTTGGGCATGTAGTAGGTGAATTGAGGAAAGAGGGCTTTGCTCTGATTGGATGTGGTCAGGAAGCAGGGGAAATTCTGTGATTGAGTATCCTCATATTTCTCATCAAAAAGGAGAGAAGGCCAGAGCAAGGCTACAGCTGTGATTGGTCAAGAAGCAGCAGTCACTCATTAGGACTGCTAATGATTGGAAGGGGGATGGTATTAGATCATTTTTGTGCTTTGAGCATGTTCATGCTTTGTCTGTTTTCAGGTCTGATTACAGAGCAGCCTTGTTTTCATGTTGATTCATCATGACAGGAGTGGACCTGCCTGATATTGATGCTCTGTGACATTATTCATAGTCAGCCACACCAGGGCCTAATGGGTCCAGGCCAGCTCCCAGATGCCTCTCTTTCTTGTGATCCTGGGCAACTTACTTAACATCTTTCCAGCTTCCTCATCTATAAAATGTGGACGATGCCTAATTCATGGAGTTATTGTGAAGATGAAATAAGGAAATGTGTGTAAAGCAGTAAGCCGCAGGCACTCCACAGTTGCCCCTCTCTTTGTCTAGAGTATTTTGATGTTGAGGTTTCTTCTGTAGAACTGTTCAAGCAGAGGACCAGGGTTCAACCAGAGCTGCTCTGAAGAATCCTGAATGGAGTGTGAGAAAGAATGAGCTCTCTCTTCTAATTCAAAAGCTGGATAATTCATGACTCTGAATCAGTCTTCACAGGCAGTAGTGAATATAGGTATCTTCTCCTGTGGTTATTACATTGGCAACTATTTTTAAGATTCTTTGTTCCCAGCGGCTCCACTTGGCTGTGTGCTTTGCTAACTTTGTGTCACTGTCTTGCTTTCTTGGTGTTTTCCCCCTTGGTTTCTTACCTAGGAGTCTGACATGAGCTAGGATATCCTTACTGTATTTGCTTTCACTTTTTGAGTTCTCATCTGCTTTGAGCTGGGAAGCCAGACAGACAAGTGAATAAGTACTGTTTGCTAATATAATTTTTTATTTAATTTTTCTTTGAGATGGAATTTCACTCTTGTTGTCCAGGTTGGAGTGCAGTGGCATGATCTCAGCTCACTGCAACCTCTGCCTTCCGGGTTCAAGCGATTCTCCTGCCTCAGCCTCCCAAGTAGCTGGGATTACGGGTGCCCACCACCATGCCCAGATAATTTTTGTATTTTTAGTAGAGATGGGGTTTCACCATGTTGGCCAGGCTGGTCTTGAACTCCTGACCTCAGGTGATCCGCCTGCCTCGGCCTCCCGAAGTGCTGGGATTACAGGCATGAGCCACCGCACCCGGCTGCTAATAATACTTTTAAGGTTTTCTGTGAGAGCCCGTGATCTTCGTAACAACTGTGAAGTGCAGGAGTGTTTAGGCCGTGAGCTATTTGAGTATGATGTCTCCTAAGGCCATTTTATCTTCTCCCAAATGGGAGTGTCATGGAAATTTGAATCCAAAGTCTGACTTTTGGCTGAGACATGATCATACTTGTCTGTGCGAGGCAACTTGGGTTCTAGATCCTACATTCATTTGGACCTGGCCATATTGTTTAATCTTTCTCCTGGCTGACTAGTTACCTTAGGTGTTTGAGAAAGATGGCGATAGTGTATTCCCCCCTAATGCTGCATGAAGAACTCTGTTGTGTTACATTCCTAGCCTATATTTTTGTTGATTTATTATTTCAAAAGTTCCTGGAAATAAAGCCAAAAGCAAGAATAGAAAATGAGCAAAGGATATAACAGTTGAAATACAGAAAACCTTTCAACAAAATAAAACATACTTGATTTTATTTGTATTAAAATAACCTAAAACTAGGCTGAGATTCCACTTCTCACTTATCACACCTGGCAAGAATCCAAAAGTCTAATGATATACTGTTGCTAAGATGGATACTTTTGTACATCATTGGTCAGAGTACAGAAGAGCGCAACTCCTAAAATTATAGATGCATTTACCCATTGTTCTAGCAGTCCCTCTTCTAGGGATCTACCCTTCAGATATACTTGTTTATGAAGAGGACATCTGTATGGGGTACTCACTGGGGACTTTTTTTTTCTTTTGAGACAGTTTTACTCTTGTCTACCAGGCTGGAGTGCAGTGCCATGATCTTGGCTCACTGCGACCTCTGCCTCCCCGGTTCAAGCGATTCTCCTGCCTCAGCCTCCCAAGTGGCTGGGATTACAGATGCCTGCCATCACGTCCAGCTAATTTTTGTATTTTTGGTAGAGACCGGGTTTCACCATGTTGGCCAGGCTGGTCACTAACTCCTGATCTCAGGTGATCTGCCCGCCTCAGCCTCCCAAAGTGCTGGGATTGCAAGCATGATCCACCACGCCTGGCTGACATCTTTAATATAACAAAAATTTAGAAATAACCCAAGTGGTCAGCAACATGGGACAAGTCAAGTGCACAATGGTACCTCTCTGCGTGAGGGAGTATGTGGCAGACAGCAAGGTGCTAAGCAGTGTGCAGACTCCTTTCAACTACCCCTGTGTAAAGAAGTGTGAAAGAAATATGACTGAAGGGGTAGAGGGGTGAAAGCATTGCTGGGACATGGGTAGGAATGGGATTTCTCAGTGTGTCCTTTTACGTAATTTAGATTTTTGAGCCATGTAAGTATAATTCACACATAATAGTAATAAAGAAACCTCTAAATTCACTAGGAGAGTATTCTCCGAGTCTCATGATTGGAAAGTCTGAGTCTAATAAAAACCTACAAAGCAATAAAAATAACCACATCCAGTCACTCCCCCTAAAGTCCCCTACCCTGCCAAGAGGGCAAATTAGCTGTTTAATGTTAGCAAAAAAAATGAAAGATTAATTTAGGAATTTCCTCTTTTTACCATATAAACTCTGTCAGGGAGGACTGGTGTCTTTACTGAAGTCTTCCCACCCACAGCAGATGGGTTCCATTTTGTTTTTTAATGGCAAGCCTGATTTGGTTTCTACAGAAACCTTTTGGATCTGAAGGCAATTGAGTGAACTCTCTTTCAGCCTGCCCCAGAAAAGAACAGAAGCCATAACAGTGGAGATTCTGACAACAGTGGTCAACTAAAGCAGATCCTTCTCTGGCTCTTCTCCTGGGCTAGCAGGACGAGCTCTCACAGGCCGTCAGGGAGACCCAGTCCCGTGTTTGGCAAAGTAAATCTGTTCCGTTCGAATTCCCTCTCTTGGTAACTGGCTTTTCCTTCCCATCTTCCAGCCCGCACCTGAGATACCTGAAGATGCCCCACGGAGCCTTCTTTCTTTCATCCCCACCCCTCACCAAATCAGTGTCTTCTCTTTTTTTTTTTTTTGAGATGGAGTTTCAGTCTTGTTGCTCAGGCTGGAGTGCAATGGCGCTACCTAGGCTCACTGCAACATCCGCCTCCCAGGTTCAAGCGATTCTCCTGCCTCAGCCTCTGGAGTAGGTGGGATTACAGGCATGTACCACTATACCTGGCTAATTTTACAATTTTAGTAGAGACGGTGTTTCTCCATGTTGGTCAGGCTGGTCTTGAACTCCCAACCTCAGGTGATCCACCCGCCTTGACTTCCCAAAATGCTGGGATTACAGGTGTGAGCCACCGCTCCTGGCCACCAGTGTCTTTTCTGTCCTCATGCCACTGATCTAGTCCAGAGCATTGCCACTTTTTATGTGTCTCTAATCTTGCTCCCCTGCCTTTCCTTTCCTATTTTGCTTCTAGAAGATTTTTTCTAAGGGACCATTCTGATCTCACACCCTCCAATGGCTCCTGCTTCCCTGGTTCCCCTGCAGGAGATGCAGGACATGGATTGGGGGGCCTCCCTGGCTGTGTCCCTGGTCCTTCTGCACTCTGGAATGCTGCATTCCAGTGAAAGAGTCAAGCTCAGAGCTTGACCAGTTGTTTCAGTTTATCGAATTGGTGGATGGCAGATCAATACAACACAAGGTCTCCTGGACCATCTCAAGCTCACCGGTAACCCATTTGCCTGGCACTGTCTTCCCCATCCCTCCACCACCTCCCACAAATTCTGTGCTTTCCTAATGACTGCTGCTCAGCTGCAGCATCCATACTGTGCTCCTTCACCAGGCTTGCTTCTACTCAGCCTACAAAATGCAGCTTGGATGTCGGCTCCTTCAGGAGGACTTCTGTGGCCCGATGCCTCTCTCCAATAGATTTAGATGCCTCTTTTTTTGGTTCTTTCCCTGGAACAATCTCTGCTAGTAGCTAACATAAAACTAACATAAAAGCTGTTTATTTCTCCATCTGGCCACCAAAGTAGGAGCTCATTGAGGAGAGAAATTATTTTTTGTCTCTGTATCCTAAGTGCTTAAACACAGTATCTAGTATAGTTGGTACTCAAGAAAAATTAGTGAGTGATTCAGTTAATTATTTGGTAAATAAATAAATGAGTATTCCATTGAATGCAAGATTCTTAAGCATAGCATAGTGACAGACTAATGAGAGATGACAGCCTGAGCATCCTTAGTTATGCGGCCTTGCAGTTCACCTTATCGGAAAGGAACTTCCTTGCATGTTTAGAATTTCTTCCTTAAATGTTCATTCCTAGTGTTGATCTACAAGAACAGGGTCAGGTAGCTACTGCTTCATAATCTAAGAAATGATACTTTAGAAAAGAACTTGTGATCCACAAGACTAATGGTTTCCCATGCCCTGGAGGAGACTCATGTTAAATGGATTGAACTGAAGTCTGAGCTTGCTTTCATCTCTCAAATCCTGAGAGAGCTATGTGACTCTGCAACTGTGTCAAGCGCCAGGGTGCAGGTAAAAATGAAACGAAGTTCTTGTCCATTAGAGCTTTTCATTTTGACTATGGATAGTTTTTAAAAATGTTGCTTTCTTTTTGTGTGGTGATGTTTTATTATATATGTGAGTGTCTGTATATGTTGGGCTATGTGCAGTTCGTGTATTGTGAATGGTTTAGAACTGTTGCCTGTGTTTCTCTTGGAGTAAGTATTTGATAACTTGATTTATAAAAGTTTTAAAAATATATATTAAGAATTTTTATTCCCTGTCATAAATATTGCACTTATTTTCTCAGTTTGCCCTTTGTCTTTCTAAAGGCCCTTCTGATCCTGTGATGTACAAATATTTCTCTATTTTTTTCTAGTACTTTCAGTTTCATTTTTCCTCAAATAAACCTCTTGATTTCATTGAGTATCTGCTTTATATATGGTATGAGAGAGGAATTCAATTTTTTTTCTTTCCACATGGTTAGCCCATTTTTCCAACAGCATTTATTAAATACTCCACTGCTTCCACTGAATTTAGTATTTTCCCTTTTAGATCTTCCAATGTGTCTCTTCTTTTCCCCTCCTGCTAATGTATGACAGTGCCTTTATTTTCTGGGTTAAAAAGCCATAGCTACTTTTTATTTCTGAATATGAGAAATCACACAGTGTAGAGAAAAAGCACCTTTGACCTTTCAAAGAAGTAGTCATAAGTAAGCTATCTATTGCAGTAGTCAGTATGTTGTTGTTCAGCAAATATTCCCAGCTCTCTGCCTTTTTAAGACAGGATCTTGCACTGTCACCCAGGCTGGAGTGCAGTGACATGATCATGGCTCACTGCAGTTTTGAACTCCTGGGCTCAAGCAATCCTCCCACCTTAGCCTCCTGAGTAGCTGGGACTACAGGTATGTGCCAACACACCCAACTAATTTTTTAATTTTTAATTTGCAGTTTTGCTGTGTTGCCCAGGCTGGTCTGCAACTCCTGGGCTCAATCAGTCCTCCCACCTCAGCCTCCCAAAATGCTGGGATTACAGATATCACCCACCATTACCAGCCTACCTTGCAGATTCTTGATAAAATTGTATTTTCTGGCCCTTATTGTTGGCTGAGGCCATGTGACTAGTTCTGACAAGTTGTAAAGGACCTGCCTTGTGTCACTTTTGGGCCAGATCATTTAATTGCTGGTGTGAAACCTTCCAGAACTCTCTTTCCTGTTGGATATTGATTGATAATGTTCAAGATACAGGCTTTCCCTTCCATCTGGATCCCTGAGTAACACCAATAAACAAAACTCTCTTGTACCCCTGTATTGAGCATGTATTAGGAGCAAAAAATAAGCCCTTATTGTTATAAGATTTAGGGGTCGTTTGTTTCTGAAGCATACCCTAGCATATCCTGACTGGTACATGCATGTTCTTTCAATATCTGTTTGAGTTCTTTATTATAAGCTAAAGTCAAACTAGAGGGTCTTCTAAGAAGAAGGTACTGTTTCATGTGAACTGTTGTGAATAGGGAGAAATACAATAATTTTGGGGAAAAAAGCCACAAAATAGTAACTTCTCACTTGATTTTTAGGATAATTTTACTTTTTCAGGTAATCTGGAGCTTTCAAAATGTTTGCCAAAGCAACAAAGAATTTTCTTAGAGAAGTTGATGCTGATGGTGACCTGATTGCAGTATCAAATTTGAATGACTCTGATAAGTTACAGCTTCTAAGTCTGGTGACAAAAAAGAAGAGATTCTGGTGCTGGCAGAGGCCCAAGTACCAGTTTTTATCCATCACCCTTGGCGATGTACTCAAAGAAGACCAATTTCCAAGTCCAGGTATGTTTCCTTGGATATATTCTACAGTTAGTCCCAGAACAGATGATGATGATGATTATTTTTTTTGACACAGAGTCTCTGTTGTCCAGGCTGGAGTGCAATGACATAATCTTGGCTCACTGCAACGTCCGCCTCCTGGGTTCGAGTGGTTCTCCTGCCTCAGCCTCCTGAGCAGCTGGGATTACAAGTACCCATCACCACGCCCAGCTAATTTTTGTGTTTTTAGTGAAGACAGGGTTTCACCATGTTGGCCAGCCCGGTCTCAAACTCCTGACCTCAAGTGATTCTCCAACTTTGGTCTCCCAAAGTGCTAGGATTACTTGATCTTGGCTCATTGTAACCTCTGCCTCCCAGTTTTTAAGTGATTCTCCTGCCTCAGCCTCCCAAGTAACTGGTACTATAGGCATGTACCACCACACCCAGCTAAGTTTTGTATTTTTAATAGAGATGGGGTTTCGCCATGTTGGCCAGGATGGTCTCGATCTCTTGACCTTGTGATCTGCCCGCCTCAGCCTCCCAAAGTGCTGGGATTACAGGCGTGAGCCACTGCGCCCAGTGATGATGATTCTTTTATGCACGTATTGATTGCCTTGAGTCTAGATACTTAATAATGAATTCTCCTGTTTGTCATCTTAAAAACATATCCTTTCTTAAAATGACCAAAATTCTGCAGGACTGACATGACACGCATGTGCACCAACACACCCAGCTAATTTTTTCATTTTTAATTTGGAGTTTTGCTATGTTGCCCAGGCTGGCCTCCAACTCCTAGGTTCAAGCAATCCTCTCACCTTGGCCTCCCAAAATGCTGGGATTACAGGTATCACCCACCATCCCCAGGTTTTATAATAGTGGTTTTAGTATAAAAGTAATACATGCTTACTGTACATGTTGTGGCCACTCAGCAGAAGTGGGGTGGATCACCCACCCAAATGTCGTTTGGTGTTGAACTGATGATGCCACATACCCATCAAAAAGGTGTGAAAATCAGGCCAGGCGTGGTGGCTCACGCCTGTAATCCCAGCACTTTGGGAGGCTGAGGCGGGTGGATCACGAGGTCAAGAGATCGAGACCATCCTGGTCAACATGGTGAAACCCTGTCTCTACTAAAAATACAAAAAATTAGCTGGGCATGGTGGCGCGTGCCTGTAATCCAGCTACTCAGGAGGCTGAGGCAGGAGAATTGCCTGAACCCAGGAGGCGGAGGTTGCGGTGAGCTGAGATCATGCCACTGCACTCCAGCCTGGGTAACAAGAGTGAAACTCCATCTCAAAAAAAAAAAAAAAAAAAAGGTATGAAAAATTTTAGTATTCACATAATGATGCTTTCTAGGGAAAGCAAGACAGGCTCTAAAGCTGGTCCAAAAATGGCTACAGAGAAGGGGATGAGGATGGGCTCTGCTTTTATTGTGATTAGTGAGTGCAGATGGGCACTGGTCCCTGCATGGGGGATGGGCTGATGTGGTTTGAGGTTTCACTGACACCATGGGCAGAGCACCTGGAAGCTTTTAACACCTGTCCAGATGTGCAAAAGAAAGAGGAGGAGGAATGGGGCCTCAGAAGCTGACAGCAGTCAGACATCAAAAATAGGATCACATGTATTGTTACAGTACAGTATTAAATATAGAAAGAGATGAAGAAGAAATTTCAAAAATGAAAAATTCTGCCATCGTGTGTTAATTCCCATTAACACTTGGTTTGTAGCCTTTTATTTCTCTGCATCTAATTTTTAATAACAAAATTAAAAATATACTGTAGGCCAGATGCGGTGGCTCACGCCTGTAATCCCAGCACTTTGGGAGGCTGAGTTGGGTCTATCACAAGGTCAGGAGTTCAAGACTGGCCTGGCCAACATGGTGAAACCCCATCTGTACTAATAATACAAAAAGTAGCTGGGTGTGGTGACAGGCGCCTGTAATCCCAGCTACTGGGGAGACTGAGGCAGGAGAATCACTTGAACCTGGGTGGCAGAGGTTGTAGTGAGCTAAGATCACAGCACTGCACTACAGCCTGGGTGATACAGTGAGACTCCATCTCAAAAAAAATGCTGTATATAATTTTTACATACTCCTTATTTATTTTTACTTAACATTGTTTTCCCCCATAGATTTAAATATTTTTAAATACAATTTTTAACAAACACATAATATTCTTTGAGTTATATGTACACTAATTTGCTTAACCATTACAATTTAGTGCTTAATAAGTAACATTGAGACTGGGTGCAGTGGCTCATGCCTGTAATTCCAGCACTTTGGGAGGCCAAGGTGGGTGGATTGCTTGAGCCCAGGAGTTCGAGACTAGCCTGGGCAACGTGGCCAAACCTCATCTCTACAAAAAATAGAAAAAATTAGCCAGGCACAATGGCATGCACCTGCCAGTCCCAGCTACTCAAGAGAGGATCACTTGAACCAGGAGGTTGAGGCTGAAGTGAGCATGATTGTACCACTTCATTCCCGCCTGGGCAACAGACTGAGCCTTTGTCTCCAAAATAATAATAATAATTAATAAGGCTGCAGTGAGCATTTTTATTTTATTTTTGTTGTAGTTTTTAGGCAACTGCTATAGCATAAATTCTTAGAGAATTACTGGACCAGAGGATGGGAACTTTTTGAAGACTTGGTACTTACTCATTGCTACATCACTTTTTGGAACGTGGTGATATACGAAAATATCATCACTCTTAGTTATTGGACAAAATGATGTCTGAATCTTCTTTCAGCTCTAGAATTCTCTATAATTTTGTGATTACATCTCTATTACAGGGGAAAAGAGGTAGAGGAGATAATTTGAGTTACAGATAATCTTCAAGCTTTCTTCCAGGAAAGGATTCCAGCCAGTGCTGTCTGCAGTCAGCTCGTCAGAGCTGCCACACAATAGGCAGATGAATTGATATTAATTTTTCATCACCCTCCCCTTCAGGAATTTGTGTGTTTTCTGGTAGAACTTCTATCGAATGGTGAAATAACTAAATATGAAAAGGAACAAGAGGAAAAAAATGACAAAATAGACCAGGAACTCCTGAGTAATTGGAGTTTTTCTGTTCTGCAATGTGAAATGCCTCTTTTGTGGTGTCCTGAAAGATCACAGAGACTTGTGCTGCTTTGGCGAGGCCAGTGGCCATCACTACAGGGGAGGAATCCCTGAGCATGCTCCTCATCTGGGGTCAGAGCTCATCCTGGATTCTGTGTCCTGTTGGTTTTAGGGTGGTGATGAGAAGTGTCTTCTATTTTGTCTCCTGGGCAGAGCCAGGATGCTTCAACTTTGTTATTTTTTCCCATTCGCAACCTCACTGGCACGTGTGTTGCCGAGGGCTGTGAGGGTGTAGGGTGGTGATTTGGTGTTGGTAGTCTAAGTGGTGACCTGTTGGTCCCCTCATTTCTTCCCTTCTACCAGCAACAGTTGATGCCTTGATGCATAAGTGTGCACAAATGACATCATCTTTGGAGGTGTGTCTAGAGTGAGTTTTCAGAACACAGGCAAATCTTGACTGTTCCTTCCTTCTGTGGAGTCCAGTCTTGGGGACAGAGTTTCCAGGAGTGGTAATAAGCCTAAGACCAGACCTGTGTCCTGAAGATAGAATTTCTGTGTTTGCTGTACTTTGTAGAACCTAGGACTGTCCTGTTTATCAGAAAGTGATATTTCTCTGGCCTAAACACGTGGAGAGGTTGAGCCTTTGCTATGTGTGAGGCTCTGCCTTACATGCTTTACATACACAAACCTGCAGCAGAACCCATCAGGTAGGTACCATTGATTATCTCCAGCTTGCACATGAAAGTCTGAGGTTCAGGAAAATGACTATTACCCAAGTTCTCCCAGTTAGTAGTATTAGAGTAGGGATATAATCCTAACCTCTTTATATCTGGCTCTGCCTTTCTTCCCAAAGCATTTTCCAAAGTGCTTGTTTTCCATGACATATTAACAAAAGGCCTGAATAGAGTACATTTTATACCATTCTTATTTCAGGGTGGTTGTATGGGAGATGATTCTCCATTTTGTAAATTTCAAAGATCACTGGATGGTGATTACCTCTGATTAACCCTGGTTGAGGAGTGGGTTTTCTTGATTGCAGTGGCAGAAGTGTAGGTGAAGTATAGGCGTTGGGGCAGTGAGTGAATGGAAAGAAGACTTCAGACTGCAGGTGGGTTTGAATCCCTTGTGAAGTGCAGCCAGGAGCCCAGGAGTGCCTTGGTCAGGACAATGGAAAAGGCCAAGTGTGAAGTTTCTAGTGGAGTCTTAATATCTCCTTACCAAATAGTGATGATAAAGACTATTTAAAATTATTTTTTAAAATTTTCTTAGAGATAAGATTTGTTGCTCTGTCACCCAGGCTAAGGTGCAGTGCTCACTTGTAAGTTTGTACTCCTGGGTTCAGGTGATCCCCTCACCTCAGCCTCCAGGGTAGCTGGTGTTGCTCAGGCCGTCCTTGAACTTCTGACCTCAAGGGATCCTCCTGCCTAAGCCTCCTAAATTGCTGGGATTACAGATGTGAGCTACCACACAGCGAGAGACTATATTTAGGGTGGTTTTTGGTTTTGGTTTTTGGTTGGATTGAAGTAGAAACCCGGAGATATGAGAAGGCTGGCAGCTCAGATATGAAATCAGTCATTTATCATTTTACAAAGGACATGTTGGCTGCACGCGGTGGCTCACGGTTGTAATCCCAGCAGTGTGGGAGGCCAAGGTGGGCAGATCACGAGGTCAAGAGATCGAGACCATCCTGGTTAACATTGTGAAACCCTGTCTCTACTAAAAATACGAAAATTAGCTGGTCGTGGTGTCGCACACCTGTAGTCCCAGCTACTCGGGAAGCTGGGGCAGCAGAATCGCTTGAACTGGGAGGCGGGGGTTGCAGTGAGCTGAGTGTGTGCCAATGCACTCTAACTTGGAGACAGAGCAAGACTCCATCTTAAAAAAAAAAAAAAGGGCATGTCCACTGACTTTATCAGGAAATAAGAGATAAGAAATTGCATGATAAGGAATTGAAAGACTGGGTAGAGGTCAGAGATAGATTCATAAATATGAGAAGGGAGTAATTTGGTTGGAGATGGTAATGAGGGCCAGGGGATTGTTTCCCAAGACTGGTGGGTGGAAAGGTAAGATGTTCCCAGACAGGCCTATGTGACCGAGGAAGGCCATCCTCTCCGTCCAGGATAGGGGCTGCTCTTCTCTCTCTGTGTAGTGTCAGCCTTGTCTAGTTCCTTTTCAGTCTTCACCCTGGAAAGGTCCACACTTAAAATGGACTATTGATCCAACTGGATAGTGGTTAAACAGGTGCTCACTTTATTCATTAGGCCTTCCTGCACACCTTTCTATAGTATTGGAATTGAAAACCAATGAAAGAGAAAAGCATCTAATGGAGCCCTGGCCACTGGTCCACAGCGTGCCCGCAGTCCACACACACGTGTTGCCTTGTTTTCTTACACAGCATGGCTGCCAGCCAGCCTGCTGCTTCCCAGGGCTCTCTGCACAGGCTTGGAAAGCTAAATGACCTTAGACACCGAGGTGGCCTTATCATCAGCTTCCTTTGCTTGTCTCCTTTATTCCAGTGGTTGTGGAGTCAGACTTTGTAAAATATGAGAGCAAGTTTGCAAACCATGTGAGCGGAACCCTGGATACCGCACTGGGGAAGGTCAAGCTGAACGTGGGGGGCAGCAGCCGTGTAGAGAGCCAGTCTTCATTTGGAACCCTGAGGAAGCAGGAGGTGGACTTGCAGCAGCTCATCAGAGACTCTGCTGAGAGGTAAGGAGGCTTCTGTTTGGCATTTTGGATTTTGACACATCTCACATTTAAAGGTCATTCAGTTGGACCTTTGTTAAAAGGGCGACAGATTCGATCTCTGCTGATCGATAAATGTGTCTTGAATGCACTTGTGCTGAAACGTCATGAGAAGCACATTCTTTCGTCTGGAATTGCTTGACTGTTCTCAGCCTGAGGCAGGGAGGCTTGGGCAGCACTTTCAAAGGATGTTACTTCAGGCATATAGGTACTTCTTCAGTCGCATGATTTATAAAATGCCATCAGTGAAAGCGCTCTGTCCTGCGTTGTTGAATATTAATTTTAGAAGCTGGAAAGTTATGACCCCCACCTCTGGCTCGTTACAATTTTCTGATGCAAAAAAGCAAGTGAGAGGCTTATAAAAAAAGCTCTAAAACAAGAGCTGTTTTTAGTCTTTGAAGTCTTGAAGAAAACCCCACATTTATTCATGGTTTGGCTTTCGGTAAATACATTCTACCACAGTATAAGTCATCATTATTCTCATGTTTATTCAACATTCAAAAAATAATTGCATCAAGTGGATCTCGTGTGCCATGTACTGTTCTACATTCTGGGGAGGCTGCAGAGAACAAAATGTCAAAATGCCTGCCCTTCATTGTAGTGAGGAGAGTAAAGTGTGCGGTAGGTTGATGGGAATCGGTGGTGGGGAGAGGGTCTAGGGTGTGCTAGGAATGGGGCTATGGATTTAGAAAGTATGGCCAGAGAAGGTATCATGGAGAAGCTGGCATGAGGGCAAAGCCCTGCAGGAGGAGAGGGAAGGCACAGGGGTATCTGGGCAGGATGTTGTGGGCAGTGGCCTGTGCTCAGGGTGGTCTGGGCCCAGTGGGCAAGGGGAGTGCAGGAGGGAGAGTTGGACAGGCTGAAAGGAGTGGGGCGCCAAGTCCCACAGGACCTCTAAGGCCACTGGAGAGGCTCGATGGAAAGGCTCATTGAGAGCCGGTGGAGGATTCTGGGCAGGGAAGTGGCGTGATGTGACATATTTTTTTAGAAGGATCATTCTGGCTGCTGAGCTGAGAAGAGTCTGGATGGGTAGCAGCCTGGAGTCTAGTTGAGAAGTTATTGCAGTAACCAGCAGGGATGATATTTCAGTTTGTAGAGTAATGGGTGCATTTTCCTGTGTAATTTTATTGTCCTTCATTCTTTTAAGGCAACAATTCAAATCCAAATAAATTAAGATAAAATTCACTTGTATTTAAGTATGGCTGGCTTATTTCATCTTTAGCAACATTTAAAAAATTATATGGAATATTAAATATGTGCTAATCCCACAAAATTAAGCTTAAAAATTAATGAATAAAAATATGATAAGACTCACATAGCATTACCTGGGTGGATTTTGTACAGACATTGAGGGTGCCTGGGCAGCTGCCGACTTCAAGTCCCAAGCCCCTCTCCAGTCACCTGCCCATGTTTACTGGAGCTGAAGGACCATGGCCCTGTGTTTACTGCCTACTGGCACTTTCTAGAACTCCACAACCACACGAAGCTCTGACTCTGCCAGGGTTTCCCTTTTGCCCAGAGAACTTGAAGTTCTCTCTGGTAGCAGCAGGTAGAAGGGACAGCTGCCTCCATCTCTGGCGGTCGTGATCTTTATTTTCCTTCTCTACAGCTGATCTTTGCTAGAGTTCCATTTTCCTTCTCACCTACAATTGTTGGGACACACTAGAAAAGTATTTGATATTTATGCGAAATGAAGATGTAAGTGTGTGTCCTACATTTTCATTTGCTAAATCTGGTGGCACTGGGGAAAGGGTAAAGGGAAGCTGGGGGATCCAGAGCCTCTTCTCTGCTCCCTCAGTCTCACACAGCCCTCTCTGGCTTAGCTGCATTTTGCAGTCTTGTTATTTCTATTTCAAGAAGCACAGTTTGGCAATGCTCTATAATCACATTTCCCGATGTAGGTTTTTAAACACTCTTCATGATTCAGGTATAGAAGCTCTTGCCGAAAGAAAGCGTATGAGGAGGGTCAGCGAGAAGAGATGGGAGGAAATATTCTGGAGAGAAAGAAGCCAGAGCCAACTGTTCTAAGTGGAGGAAGAGGGAGGAGGGGAGGGGAAGAAAAGGGGCATCCGCAGAGCACCTACTGTGTGCCAGGCACTTTATTTGCAGCCTCTCCTTAACTCTGCACAGCCTCTCCTTTCATACTTGATGGCAACAAGGCTCAGGAAGGAGAAATAACTTGTTCCCCGACACAGAGCTCAAGTTAGGTGCTGGAACTGGGATTCAACCCAGGATTTCCTGGCTCCAAAGCTGCTGTTCTTTCCTGTAAATCATGTAAAAGTCATTAAGATGATAGCACAGAATGTAAAGACAGAGGCATGAATCCGAATCCCAGTCCATAGGGAGAATCCCTAGTCAGTGAATCGTGGGATAGAAACTGTCCTGAGCAGGCACATGTGCATAACCAGGCCTGCTCACCTGGAGGCGTCTGCACACAGGGATGAGATTGCTTGGACTCAGGAGTCCTGTTACTTGTAGAGGTGATGGGGGAAGGGATGCCCTGGGGAGTGGCGCCACCAGAAGCATGATAAAGAATAAATAAAAGGACTAGAAACCAAAGAAGAGTCTTATTACAGAATCACCTTGCCCTTGTTAGGCTGCTAGGAGGAAAGGGTGAGCTACAGGGAAGGGGAGGGGAGGACGGGTGGGAAGGAAAGACTTCTGCTCCTGGCACAGAGATCAGTAAAGCTAAAAGTCTTGTGACTTCATGCTGGAGTAATAAATTCTTATCCACCTTGTTTGCCTGTCTTTGGACTCCGATAACATCATGGGGATTGTTAAGGCATTGTTGATACATGCGTGGCCTAGGGTGTGGCGATTTGTGATGCTTAAGTACTGTTAGTTCCCGAGGGCTTAGTTACAGTCACTTTTATTTCAGGTCATTTAGATAAGTTGTCATCTGCAAGTTATTTTAGGCCTCAAAGATCAGAATATTAGCTTTATTGTTTATGAAATGTGTGCACATAACGAAAACAAACTCGGTCCTTGAAAAACAAGCCTGTGCTGGGCAGGAAGGCATTCCACAGAATTAACCTTCTGGATACCCGGAGCCGACCCCTTTGAATGCCATCTCTATCAGATCTTAAGCAAGCTTGATGGAAACCATTCTAAGATACATCATGCACTTTTTTTTTTTGATGGAGAATAACAAATTTATTGAGACTTTTTTTAGAGGGACTCATTCATGTGATAAGCTCTTTAATTCTTGTGTTTAATAAGCTCTTTCATCATTATTCTGTAATACTCTCTTTGTCTGCCTTGTCTTCTGTGGTCAGCTGCCATTTGTCACTACCTTAAGTATAAAAGTATGAAATGTGTGCACACCTCTGCCCAGCTCACCTCTGCCACCAGTTTGTTGCTTCTGGTAAGTTTATTCCTGGTCAATAACTTAGGTGGACTTGTAAGCCACATCTGCCCTTGCCTTAATTTCCCCAGCTGTAGGTGAGATAGTTGGACTAGATGATCTCTGAAGGCTTTCTCCCGGCTGAGTGTGTGAAAGTGAGTGGACTCTGGAGCGTGTGCTAAGCTCCTTCCCCTGAGTTCTGGGCCTCGGTCCCAGCTGTTTTCCAGAGACCATGCTATGTTTCACTTTCCTGGCTATTTGGGGATTGAGGAGGGTGTTACCATAATGGCATATACCACTTTTATTCTTTGTGATATTGTAAAGGGAATTTTAGCAAAGCAGATTACATTTTTCTATGCATGTACAGTAATGAGAAGTTTGGTTCTTTATTCAAATTCCAATTTAAATAAAATACATGAAACCAGTATATTAAAGCAGTGTTATGACAATGACAACAATTATTTAAAATGTTTTAAATTACACTGAATATAAATATACATATATTTACATAAATATATACACATATATTTGTAGGATATATGACATATATTTTTTAATGAGGAATTTTTTAATGGGAAAATATATCCCATGAGATGTTTTGATATAGGCTTACAATGTATAATAATCACATCGTGTAAAATGGGATATCCATTATCTCAGGCATTCGTCCCTTGTGTTACAAACAATCCAATGATATACTTTTAGCTATTTTTAAATGTACAGTTACTGACTTTAGGTACTCTGTCATGCTATTAAATACTAGATCTTATTCATTCTGTACCCATTAACCTTCCTTATACCCCCACCACTGTCCCACCACCCTTCCCAGCCTCTGGTAACCATCTGTCTACTCTTCTACCTCCATGAGGTCGTTTTCATTTTTAGTTCAACAAATAAATAAGAGCATATGAAGTTTATCTTTCTGTGCCTACTTTATTTCACTTAACATAGTGACCGAATCTTATTCTTTTTTATGGCTAAATATTACTCTATCGTGTATATGTACCACATTTTCTTTATCCATTCATCTGTTGACAATTAGGTTGCTTCCAAATTCTGACTGTGGGGACTAGTGCTGCCGTAAATGTAGGAATGCAGGTATCTCCTCAATATACTGATTTCCCTTCTTTTGGGTATATATCCAGCAGTTGGATTGCTGGATAGTATGGTAGCTCTAGTCTTAGTTAGTTTTTTGAGGAATCTCCAAGCTATTCTTCATAGTGTGCCAATTTACCTTACATTCCCATCAGCAGTGTACAAGATCCCCCTTTTTTCACATCCTTGTCAGACAGTTGCCTGTCTGTTGGATAAGAGCCATTTTAACCAGAGTGAGATGATAACCCATTGTGGTTTTGATTTGCATTTCCCTGATGATCATTGATGTTGAGAACCTTTTCATATGCCAGTATGCCATTTGTATGTCTTCTTTTGAGAAATGTCTGTTTAGATTTTTTGCCCATTTTTAATAGGATTATTAGATTTTTTTTTTCCCTACAGAGTTGTTTGAGCCCCTTTTACATTCTGGCTATTAATTCCTTGTCACATGAATAGTGTACAAATATTTTCTCCTCTTCTGTTGTCTCTTCATTTTGTTGATTGTTTCATTGCTGTACAGAAGTTT